CCCGTTCTGGCAACGTCCCCGGAGCTCAAAATTTCTCCAGCACAATGCTGAGCTTTGTGCGTGCTCAAGAGTTATGACTTCGAACTAAGTTCAGCTCACCGCCCCCCGCAGAGATCGGGACGGGCGTACCATGTGTCTTTCAGTGACATAGCGATTCTGAATGATAGTGAAATATAGTAGGTTGGTCGGAAAATTTCCCGTTCTCGATTCGTTCAATCCAGATGGCTATTCCGGCTTATACCTGCGTATATCTTGCCATGGGCTCGTGGAAGGTTCGATTGGCTCATGGTCATCCGCCATGCTTTTGGAAACCACAACACCCCTCTGATCCTGGCCACAGCATGCACCTCCGCAACTGCCTTCCGATTCACGCGTGAAAGGTAGTCATTTCATTTTTGAACTCCTTACCTTTGTGCGACGATGGAGGTTCTGCTGGTCCTAAACCCATCCACGGTTTCCAGCCAGGAATCCATCCACCACTGTCAGCTCCATCGTCCGAGGAGATTGAAGACTTTTTCTTTTCGGACTCTGCTGAAATTTTATTCTCGAATGAGAATCCCGTTCTGGCAACGTCCCCGGAGCTCAAAATTTCCCCAGCACAATGGTGAGCTTTGTGCGTGCTCAAGAGTTATGACTTCGAACTAAGTTCAGCTCACCCCCCCCCGCAGAGATCGGGACGGGCGTACCATGTGTCTTTCAGTGACATAGCGATTCTGAATGATAGTGAAATATAGTAGGTTGGTCGGAAAATTTCCCGTTCTCGATTCGTTCAATCCAGATGGCTATTCCGGCTTATACCTGCGTATATCTTGCCATGGGCTCGTGGAAGGTTCGATTGGCTCATGGTCATCCGCCATGCTTTTGGAAACCACAACACCCCTCTGATCCTGGCCACAGCATGCACCTCCGCAACTGCCTTCCGATTCACGCGTGAAAGGTAGTCATTTCATTTTTGAACTCCTTACCTTTGTGCGACGATGGAGGTTCTGCTGGTCCTACACCCATCCACGGTTTCCAGCCAGGAATCCATCCACCACTGTCAGCTCCATCATCCGAGGAGATTGGAGATTTTTTCTTTTCGGACTCTGCTGAAATTTTATTTTCGAATGAGAATCCCGTTCTGAGAACGTTACCCGGAGCTCAAAATTTTCCCACAGCAACGGTTGGCCTTGCGCGTGTTTAAGAAATGCCTTCGAATTAAGTTCAGCTGACCCACGTAGAATCGGGGGAGCGCATCTCGCGTTTTTCAGCGGCATTGTGATTATGCGTGTAACTGAAATATATTAGGCCAGGTTTGCTCCGCCCGCTATCGCGCGCATCACAGGGTAGGGAGGAACCACGGAATAGCAGCATGACGTACTCCATTAACCACCTCACTATTGAATGTGTTATACCTCCTTATACCCCTTCTCTCCGGCGCATGGCAGCACCATGTTCTCCCTCCCTTTCTCCTCACCTCCAGTTCCCTCCCTCTTTCTTGTTGTGGGTTTATCATGATTATGACATCAACATCACAAAGTGTTGCCCTTCGTACTCCCTGGTTTTGTGAGCGGTCGGTCCGGACGGACAGAACGACACACACACACACCGACAAACCGACACACCAAAGTTCTGGTTTATACAGTGAAGTGATTTGCCGGAAAGTTTGCCGCTCTCGGTTCGGTCAACCCATATTTCCAGGCTGTACCTGTCTATATCTTGTGTGGGGCTACGTGAAGGGCACAAGTCGTCCACACCAATCTATTTGGAAGCACAATACCCCTAAAATTTTGATCCGAAAAATGCACCTCCGCTACTGCTTCTTCTAGTTCACAGTTCTGGCTTACCAGGGAATGCTCTCAACATCCCATAAAATTTTGGATGAATGAATACCCAAGCAGCTCGGTAGAGCAGAGAATATCATTTACAAATATGGAAACCAAAACTATCACGCTAACTTTCTAAGGAAGTTGTTAGCAGTCAAAGTTGGCAAGGAATGTAGTAGAAAAAAGTGAATTGCGGCACCAAACTGGCGCCAGATCACTACTGTCTCTAAAATGAACGTCGTATTCGTGATCAGGCCAGCTATTTACCCCTATGGGCAAAATTTCAGGAAAAAACACAAAAGAATGCCGATGCGATCGACAAGAGCCTTGGACCTTGCAAAGTAAGCTGCCCAAGCTGCAGACTTTTTTCTCTTATCAGGCTGTTGTCTGGCGCTCTCTCATCTGTAGCGCTCTCCTCTCCGCGCTTAGTCTCTCATTCCCTTAGCACAGCCGATTAGGAAGGTGAGTGAGCCCTTAACCTAAGCGTTTTTGACGGATTCTTTTCCTTTTTTCTTTACTGCCGGCCCATTCCACCAATACATTCGCATTCGTGTGCAAGAGCCACACCAATGTGATCCTGGGGCATGCCTTCAAGCGGCCCATAGCTTGCGGACTGTTGACATACATAGTAGCTGTTTTGGTCTCCGTTTTTATAACAGCATTCATTACTCTCTTGATTTATGCCGGTCCCCATTCTAAGACCAATGGGAAGTTGTAAGCCCTCCCTGGTTCGATCCAGTGGATCATCCCTTCTAGGATTCCGCTGGGTTCTGTTCATCCGAGGAAGATGCTCGTTTTGTTTCTAAATTCCTTACCTTTTTGCAACCATAGAGGTTCTACTCGCCTAGTTCCATCTCTGTGCCGTCCTTCTCTCCTAGCTAAATGATTTGAAGATTCAGAGAAATTTCGAGTTTCTGTTTCTTTGCCATTTTTGGAATTGAAGTTTTTATGTGTCACATTATACCATAGAAGTGCGCCCAGGATTAGGGAGAGGGAGCAAGGGGTGTAATTAAAGTAAATGATATTAGTTAAAAGATCAGGGCCAGATCTACGCGGAAATCAACGAGCAATGGCGGGGTTTCATTTCTCGGGTTCTGGACCATTTCTCATGGTCTTGTATTCAACTGAGGACCAAGAATTCTACCTGAATTTGGACTGACTGCCCTCTAATCGTAAACTCCGCCTTTAAGATTTAGGAAGAGACCCTCTTTTCCAAGCCTCTACTTATGACAATACTGCCATCCTTGCGCCCTGCGCTTCGAGTCCTCTTGCGTCACTGAATACAACCCCAGGGTTCACTTGTAATGTCCTTCAGTGTTTTCAAGTTTTTGAGTCCGGGATCAAGGTCAACTGTCTGTTGAAATTCAAATCGTTGCGCCTTTCAGTGATGTCCCAGAGGTTAAACTGTCAATATACATCTTGAGATTCAAACAGTCCTGATTCATCATGGGGAGTTCTCCATTCATATGATACACAAATACTCTACCTTGTTCAGCTTGTGAAGTAGCCGGCGGTATAGAAGAAATCTTGTATGGAACTGTCATTAATCCACAGTATACCATTATAACACGGATCATATCTCCACCTTCGCGCTGGTATTCTATAAAAGATTTTAAGAAGCTGTTGGAGCATTTTGAAAACTGGATTCAAGAAGAAGAAAACGCAAAATTTCTCCTTGTCCGTACTTCAATTGCTCTGCGATTCTCAATGCTTCGCTTGCAAAGCGCATCTCTGAAGAGACCAGTAATGTGCTCTTTTACGGAGCGTTCAAAAGCATGACCACCTGCTTCTTCTTCAAGCGTAGTAAACAGGCGGACAAGCGTTGATTCGCGCCCCTTTGGTGGCTCGAAGGTGCGCGACAAAGGCGCTCGATGCTCGCCCATACTGCAATCCACACGTTCCTCCGCAAGCCTCGCCTTCCGCGATCACTGTGAGAAGAGCGCAGCATCGCGGCGGCGGTTGAATTGGCCGATGTCAGACTTTGCGATTGGAGCGATTTTGCACCAATTGCAGGAGCGACGGATCGCTTGAGCGATGCGAGCGACGGGAGATTTACACCGCCGACCACCGATAATTCGGCGCCATCAGTTCGTAAATCTCCCGTCGCTCGCATCGCTTGAGCGATCCGTCGCTCCTGCAATTGGTGCAAAATCGCTCCAATCGCAAAGTCTGACATCGGCCAGTGCGGTTAGTCACTGGCACCGGAGCAACTGCTGCCGGATTCGTGAAACTCGTAAACACGAGCGCTTTCTGTCTCAAGGTGGAATGCAGCTGAAATGAAGGTCTTTATTTGGGATGTGGTCAGGGAGTTTCTGTTTTCATTATCTTTTCCAGACACCTCTTCCAGCCTCATTACTAGAAGCTCTTCCACACCTATTTCATCCCGAGGCTTTCTTTTAAGAAGGATGAGTCATTCATTGAAAACAAGTATATTTCCTAAACGATCCAAACGCCACTATAGAATGATTGCCTAGGTGGTTATGTTATAGCCGTTTGAACTGGAGAACGTACTTTACATTCGCTGTTTGCTTCTTGAAGAACACTTGAACATGTAAAATGAATAACCTCATTACAACATGGTTATGGGTATTAAAGTTGAAACTGTCATCCTATTTCTTAAAATTTTTCTTGGTCCATTAATGGAGGATAGGAACGAAGGTCGAAGAAAGGGAAAATTGCCTAGTGGGAGACAGATGAACCTCCTGAGGGTGGGGACGGCAGCGAAAAATTTGACCTCGGCGATCTGGCATGAGGTAAGCAAACCAGCCCTTTTGGCGTTTCTGCTGGGGCCGTATGCTGAATGTTGGGGAGGGGATGGGGTCCCCGAGGTCGACGGACTACTTGAACTCGGTCGGTACGGTAGGAGAGTGATGACGAAGTGGTGCAGCTAGGTCCAGCAGCTCCGCCAAAAGGGCTGGTTTGCTTACCCCAGGACTAAGCCTTGGAGAGAGGGCGGACCTGCGCTCTCTCGCAGGTCCGTCCTCTCTTTAAGGCTTAGTCCTGAGGTAAGCATCAAATTGAGGCGGTTTTAAGGACCGAGTTGAAGTAGTCCGTCGACCGTCGGGGACCCCATCCCCTCCCCAACATTCAGCATACGGCCCCAGCAGAAACGCCAAAAGGGCTGGTTTGCTTACTTCATCTGGCATGGCTCACTCTTGGCGCGGTTGGCGGGGTACGCCCACCGACTATCTAATCACTCGCCGCAGGTCTATACGTGGCGAGTGATTAGATAGCAGAGAGCGTAGTGTTGAAGAGGGCACAGCGATGAGAGTCGCATCAATGCGCAAATCAACGGGAAAAAGGGGTCCCATTTCTCGGTTCTGTCCGTTCCTCATGACTTCCTACGTCCTTGCACCACTTTATAACACACGATTGGGGTTAGCCCTCTCGCAGGAAAATGGGTGTGAAAGAGGGTTCAGTAATGAAGCTGGAGATGGAGAGTGGTCTGGAAAACATGAAGAGAGCAAATAGAGAACTCCCGATAACGCCCGAATACCAACCTCTTCTATTTCAGCCTCATTCCACCTTGGATAGAGAAGGGGCATGTTGGACGAGTTGCACGAACCTAGCTGCACTCGCTACAGTGTCAATCACGTCGACCGCAATGCAACCGCTGGTGCAATTTTGGCCCGCAGAAGGCGGGGCTAGCGGCGGACGAAGGTGTGGATTGGGGGATGAACGAGCGTCTTGCGCCTTCGTCGCACACTCTCAAGTCATAAAAGGGTGAGCATCCTTATCCAGAGCGTGCCTTTGAGAATGCCTCGCTTGTAGGTGCGAGAAAAAGTTGATTAGCTGCGAACCCCGCAGAAAGGGGGTCCCCACACCTAGTCGAAGCCGGTAAAGGGCGAAGCCATAGGGTTCACCCTGCTACCCGAACGCACCTGTATTGATCACGTATTGCGGCAGTTTTCTGAAAAAAAAAGTTTTACATCTAACAGGCTTCTCAAGCTTTTCCTTTGCAATAGCACTTCCTTCTTACATTGATCAAGATTCTATTGCACTCTTCCACTGTATCTGCACAATCCTATTACGGTGGTCATGCTTCCCCGTACCCTCTCAGCATGAGAGCGTACCATCCACTATGCCGGACTTCATCTATTTCTCCAAAAGCCTCGCCCTTTACGTGCTTTCTGCTCCTCTCTGTTTCCCTTGCTGCTAAAATGTCGTCACCGGACTAATACACATGTTTCTATGGCGCGGTGACCTTTAAGCTGTCACCCTTTATAAGATCACTTCATCCGGGAGTATCGCACCTGGCTAATATCTCGCACCTATAGTGCGAAGATTTGGCTTCGTGCCATTACTTACTTGGATTAGAGCACAAGTCCATAGGTATCCAGGACTCCTTGATCAATTCGCCATGTACAGCTCCAGCTATCGCAACTACGGCGATGATAATATTCATTCCAAAGAGAATATCCTCACGTCCTACCCACTGAAAATATGATATCTCGAGGAAGTCTTGAAACATTATTCTGGACCTGCAATTCTTATGAAGAAGGAAGAAGAATTCCACGATTTTTTTCTCCAATACTAGTTCGGAAATCCGAGAGTCATAAATACCACAGCTACGAATATCAACTGTAGAAATTCGACCGCCTCTATAGTCGAGTTTTCATGCTCTACAAAGAGAGTGTCTACGTGAAAGCCCTCTTGGACTTTCTGAGGCTCCTGTCTTTATTTATTTATTGGCGCTACGCCATACACGGGGCATTATGACGGCAGTGCATTCGAAACTGTGTAAAACATGTCTCTTTTGTTGAAATGGGACTAAGCGTCAGGCGGAGGCGGAGAGACTCCAGCGCCTGAGGCATTCTTATTTTCGCCATTTTTTGTGCCCCTACTAGGATCAGTCCCAGAGGAAGCCTCCATGTAGTGCGATAGCGCCTATTTATCCGTTTATTTATTTTTTATTTATCTATTTAGCTATTCGTTTATCTATTTACCAGTTTTGCTCCGCCCGCTATCGCGCGCATCACACGGCAGGCTTTAGCGAAACTGGAGGACCCATGGAATATCAGCATGAGATACTCCATTAACCACCTCACTATTGAATGTGTTAGACCTTTCCCAGTTTCGCTGAAGTCCATCGAGAATACGCGTGATAACGTCTGGAGCTGAACTGGTATATTTATCTCACAACTGTAAACATCCAGCATTCTTCTTGAATTCAGATAATTTAGCGGTGAATAGGATTGCTGTCAGTCTCAAAATGAAAATGAAATATGCCTATTTACATAAGTGAGGAGCTAAGGCTTATCATTTATTTACATTCACCATTATTTAGAACCCCGAAAGGATTAGCGGTTTAATGAGTTTGGGCTTTCTTGATAGAAATGAAACTTATCATTTGCTGAAGACTTGATTGAGTTTATGCAATCGACTGCTATTAAGTAAGCTGGTCATACAATGATACAATGTGCACGTACCACTACAAATAGAATTTGTAAGTAGGGACGCTCTAGTGTCAGCGCAAGCTACGTAACGGAATCGACGACTTTTGCGTTCTGACGCGCCTTATCAGCCCTTATCAGTTGTAACCACTTTCCATCACCCACCAACAATGTCCCCGTCCCACCCCACATGACACCTGCGAGTATGGACGCTCTAGTGTCAACGCAAGCTGCGTAACGGAATCGACGACTTTTGCGTTCTGACGCCCCTTATCAGCCCTTATCAGTTGTAACCACTTTCCATCACCCACCAACAATGTCCCACCCCACATGACACCTGCGAGTATGGACGCTCTAGTGTCAACGCGAGCTGCGTAACGGAATCGACGACTTTTGCGTTCTGACGCCCCTTATCAGCCCTTATCAGTTGTAACCACTTTCCATCACCCACCAACAATGTCCCCGTCCCACCCCACATAACACTTGTAAGTATGGTTGCTCTGGTGTCAACGCGAGCTGGGTAACGGAATCGACGACTTTTGCGTTCTGACGCGCCTTATCAGCCCTTATCAGTTGCTATCGCTTCCATTCATGTACCACCAATGTCCCGGGACCACCCCACATAACACTTGTAAGTATAGACGCTCTAGTACCAATATGAACGACAAAACGAAATTGGCGATGCTCGCTTTCTAGCCCCTCTTATCAGCTATTATCAGTCGTTATCAGTTCCTATCACATACCACTTGTGTCCCCATCCCACCCCCTATAACATATGTAAGAACCATGGCGCTATCGTTGCTGTGACCCGAGCTACGAATTTCGTGACAAACACACACACAGACATACTTAGCGAATTATATATAGTAGGATGAGGGCTGTTACAGCATATATCAAATAGTACAGGTCCGAGTAAACGAACAATTTCACAATAGGAGGAATAAAAGCCGAAGATAAATTTAATGAGCTTCAGTGGGAAAGCATTTTACAATAATCAAGAAAATGTTGATCAAACAAAGTGCTTACTTGACGGGGAGAGGATAGGGAAGGGGCAGGTGCCCGCTTCTGAAGAGCATCGGCAATGGCCGTCATTAATGCAAGCTGCAGGAATGAAAGCTGCTTGAACACATTAATTCTGGATTTTTCAGTAGGGACCACAAGCCAAAACTTTGGCGACAACTGGTTTTTCACAGTTTCCGGAACTGGCAGTAGGCAGATCGTGTGAAGCCCACCAAAAAATTGCGTCCCATGAAGAGCGCAGCAAAAACCTGGAGCCATCTCAACTCACCATTATAACCACTTTTTCATCCCGTCGGGCGAATTTGTTCACAGTTCAGCATTCTTGTGAAACATTTGCAACGCGAACTGCGGCGTTGAAACAACAAACAGAACAAGTCAAAATAAACACCTCCATTTTTTAGAGAACAATCCTACTATATATAAGCGGCTAGCGTGTGTCTGTTGGTGTGTGTGTGACCCGGAAATTCATAGCTCGAGTCACAGTAACGATAGCGCAGTGGTTCTTACATATGTTATAGGGGGTGGGATGGGGACACAAGTGGTACGTGATAGGAACTGATAACGACTGATAATAGCTGATAAGAGGGGCTAGAAAGCGAGCATCCATTTGTGCG